TCCCCTCTAGCTCTTGCCTGTGGAAACATGAGGGCTGCACTCCATAGCGTGTATTCCTGTGCTCTATGTTAGAGTGCATAATGAGCGCGTTTATTGTGCTAAATACATATATGTATGTGTTTTATAAAAGTCTGTATTGGGGGTAAGACGCATGATTGGTGTCTTGTGGCTTTTGCAGCTGGGACAAACTACATTTCAAGCTGTGGTTAAGTTGATTGTTAGTACAAAATTGTGACCTGTCCTGAAGCATTAACCATGCTGTCACCTGGTAGTTATACAGGTATAACTTTACTGAAGAAAGCTTGTGGCCATGGAAAAATAATTAAAATATTTTGTTCTTTTACATATACATAAATGTGTGTGTGAACATGTAAGTCTCAGTCACCTTGTTGTAGCTAGGGCTTCTATTGCTGCGACGAAATCATCATGACCAAAAAGAAAGTTGGGGAGGAAAGGGTTTATTAGGCTTACACTTCAGCGTTGCTGTTCATCACTGAAGGAAGTCAGGACAGGAACTCACACAGAGCAGAACTCTGGAAGCAGGAGCTGATGCAGAGGCCATGGAGGAGAGCTGCTTACTGGCTTGCTCCACACGGCTTGTTCAGCCTGCCTTATAGAACCAGGACCACCAGCACAGGGACTGCCCCACCCACCATAGCTGCTCCTCCACATTGATGACTAATTGAGAAAAGACCTTGCAGCTGGATCTCATAGAGGCATCTCCTCAGCTGAGTCTCCTTCCTCTGATTACTCTGGTGTGTGTCAAGTTGACAGAGAAAACTACCCGGGTACACACCTCTACAGACAGTTTCCTTTCATCCATGACACCTCAGACCTTACCAGTTCTGGTGAGATCACAGACTGGGACCCTCTGATTACCTGGAGAGAGAAGGGCAGAGGAAGCTTGTCCTATCTAACTGAAACTTGTTATTAGACATGGTCTCACTACGTTGTCCAGTCTGGTCTCTCACTCCTGGGCTCAAGTCATCTTCCTGCCTCAGCCTCCCAGTAGCTAGGACTACAGGTGCACACTACCACTCCTGGCCCCTGTGAGGTGGAAAAGCTGCAGCTGCTATGAGACCATGAAGACTTAGGCTTTTTAACCTTAGTTTAGTGGAATTCGGTCCTAAATACTTTGCTTTCAAATTTCTTTATCCAAGTATCAGTTTGGTGGGATGACACATGATCTTTTTGGTTGCTTAAAAGTCCAACCAACTAGTATTTAAGGAACACACATTGTTTACAAAGCAAATTGGGAAGCACAATGCCTCCAAACTCTCCATTTCCTTACCTTCAAATTGTCCATGGCCATTCTTTGCTGGTGGTGTCTGTCACCATGCCCCTGACTGATATACTTCTGGGTTCTCAGCCACTGGCTCAGAACCTGGAGAAGCAGGAACTGCTCTGATAGACAAATATCCTGTAGGTAGCCATGGCCAAATCCCAGATGCCAAGCTGGGATTTAGGGGACCGAGTTCTTCCCTGGGTCTTGAGACCAAATTTATATTCTTTAATCTTGGATGATTTGTGCTTGAGCAAATACAGATGGATTCAAGATGTCACTAGTCATGTTCCTCTTGATTTAAGCACTATGGTTATGAGTGTGTGGACTGGGGAGTCTTGTTTTAATTGGTGGAGGGAGCGCCTTCATGAGAGTGAGGATATTGTGACAAGAGTTCTCCTAGCTAAGGTTCACAACTCCAGCCTTCTGGAGGCAACAGAAGACAAGGAAAATCGGGAACATAAACCACTCAGGCTCTAGACTCTTGGCCCAGAAACCTGAGCCTGTGATGGGAGAAACACACAAAGAAGTTTCTGTGGCTTTACCCTTTTGCCTTTATTACAGGGGGGAAGACCCAAGCCCCTCTTCCTTTGAGGACTGATCTGAAGTTTTTCTAAGGCAGTCTCTTAGGAAACTCTGCCCAATTACCTGTTCCTTGGGACAACAGGGCCGACCCCAGTCTTGCCTGCAAGGCATGGGCACCTCTGCTCCAGTTAACCCTGAATGCTAAGGAACAGATGAGAGCAGAACAGAAAAGTGGTCCCTATGTAAACTGTGTCAGGAAACCCCAGGCAGCCATGCATAGAAGTCACTTCCTCTCTGCTAAGTCAGGGATTCTGTGTCAAATGCAAACAGGGTTTGTTTTCCTCAGCCTTTTCTTTCTGACCAGAAATTCCCCAACCAGAATTGTCTGTTATCATCGCCAGCAGGCTCCACTTGCAGCGGACACTTCACACAAATCACTATGGCCATGTGTCCCATTTCAGTGACTGGGAACAGGACAGGATTGAGGTTCCTTCCCCTCCTTGTAACTCCTTCCTGTTCCCATCATCCCTGCAACTGCAAATAAAACAGCTCCCATTCCTTATCTGTCTCTCTCTAACATTTCCTGTTCAGTGCTCAATTGCCAAGTCCTTTCTTTGCCCTCCAGGCCCTGGCTGCCTCTGGTAACTCAGGAGAAGCCAGGCTGCCTGGCCCTTTGCAAGAATCAAGTAGGCAGAGGGGAGAGGTGAGCTCAGGTGTTGTGCCCCTAGTGGAGAAAGAAGTCTTCGCAAGCAGGGGGTTTGCAAGAAGCACCCCATGGGCAGGTGGCCTGCAGTGGCGACCCAGGAATAGTTAAGGACAATGCTATCCGGTGGGGGCTGCTGAGGGCAGGAGGAGAAAGCAAACACAATCAGATGGGGAGTCACATAATTCAGGCTTGAACAAAGGGCAGCTTCCAAAAGTGCAACTACAAGGCAGGGCTGTGAGCTGCCAAGGAGGAAGTTGGCTGCATGAAGGTCTGAGTTAAGTGCTGGATGGGGCAGGTGGTTTAGGAGGACACTGAGCCATTAATGAGGATTAAAAGGTATGTTAGTAACACCATGGACAGACAGACAGGAACAACAGCATGGCACAGTTACAGATGAGAGTCAGAGCCTACATGACAGAGAAGGAACACTCAGCACTCTGTGGATGAGGCTTCTCCGTGGTGAAGGGGAAGTTGGTGATCCCCTGGTCCCTGGGCTTCTCTTCCTCCATTCCCATGCAGAGTTGAGAGCTGGCCTTTGGCTTATCAATGCTAAGCCCTCCTCCATTTCCCCTCTGCCCAGCCAAGGAATCAGACAGCCTGAACACATGAAACCTCCCCGTCTCTGAGACCTGGAAGAAGAGGGCCCCCATTCTGCTCTTTGAACCTGAACACTCATCAGAGGTCCTAGCATGCTGTCTGTCTGTAAGTCTGTACGCCCCTTCTAATAAACCTTTTACCCAAGAGGAAAATCTGCCTCAGTGTCCACCTTGGGCCCTAGACCTGAAACCTTTGCATAATGGTAGGCCAAAAGCCACTTTGAACCAGGGACCTTTACATTTAGTGACACCATGTACAAGACAGACAAGAGCCTGACACAGTGACTGAAGTGCCACCCTCACAGAATGTCTAAGTCAAAGCCAGGTGAAGAAAGCTGCCAACTTGCCCTTGCTCACCCTGGAAAGCCTGAGATGGACTGGGAAGAGGCATGGCCCTTTGTTACTGATAAGACCTGACCCAGCCCACCAATGAGAGATGGGGGCTGGCTGTTAGCTCAAGACTGATGAAGGGAACTGGGAATAAAAGAAACAGCTAGACATCACCAGGGACAGAATTGTCCCTTTATAGAACATCTGTATGGCCAGTCTTCCTGGCACAGTAGAGACTATGCCCATAGGTTTGTGTGTGTGTTGTGGGTGGAGGTGGGGTTATAGGGTGGAAAGAGGACTTTGGGATGGAAGATTCCACCTGCAGGTCAGTTACCTTACCATGTCAAGGTGGTAGACACCACTCAGACGTACTGAACAGTCACAGGTGCCACCAGTGAAGCCAACTCTCCTTTCCAGAGAGCCTCAGTCTACCTGAGGTCTTTAGGCCATTAGCCCCTCAGGAGCCTTCATGTGTTTCCACTCTGCTATCTAGTATATCTGTGGTCTCAGGATACAACCTCAAGCTAGAGATGAACTTCAGAATGAGTATTACTACATGCAGCCAAGTCAAGGTACTTTTTAGGTTCAAGTTCAAATCCAATTAAGCTTTTCCAGAAGGCCACAGTCTACACCCTGGCGACTCTCTGGGTCTAGGTTTCTTGGCAGTTCCCCTTCTATACTCAGAAGGGGTGCACTTCCTCTTGTCGCACCCTAGGACATACCTTTGCCTCCTGGTCTATGCGATGTCACTCTTCTCACTAACTTTGTCACTTGCTCCCCAGGCTTCTTGTCCCCTTCATTATCAACCCACAGCTGGCTTCTTGCCTAATTCCCTCTTCCTGTCTACCCTACTCCATTTCATCTCTTTGCACCTGCTTCAAGTCTGGGCTTTCTTGTCCCATCTCATGTCCATCTCATCTCAAGTATCCTTCTGGACGTTGGCGTCCACCAGTCTTGGGATCCCACTGAGGGTGGTGTGTTCCCCTCTGTCATGTCCCTTTCCCTTTCCTATGGGTCCTAGCACACATTCCCACATCGTACTCATCATACTCACTGATAACAGCCTGGACACTCTGAGCACACAGACATCCATGGCCTCAATTGGACAGAGCCCTTAGGCCACTCGGTCGGAAAGTCCCTGCAGTCCTCACCGTCTTTTGCAGTTGGGTGATTTCCATAGCTCTCTGGGCATGTAAGCATTTGGTTTTACACACTTCCTCTGAATGGTCCCTGGAGTTCTCATGCCGCCAAAGACTGGCCTCAGTGAAACAGCTGAGAAGGTGTGCAAACCCGCCCGTCCCAGGATGCGCAGAGGGTGCTTTCAGGTTTTCCACAGAGACTAAATATGATTTTTCAGAAAGCCTGAAGAAAACAAACAAAAAACATGAAATCAAGACCTATGAGCGGAAAGAATAGTAGAGACAAGTATTTATTCTCAATACTTTTCCTCATTGAAAAATTCCATCTCAGCTCTTTTCTATGCCATGTCTCTGAGAAGACAGCTGTGTGTCTTGCACACACACTCTCATTTTCTATCTATCTATCTATCTA